CTAATAATTCAGCTGAACAGGGATCATGATTGGCCACAGGGAAAAGGCTGTGTTTATTGACCAATGAATACGGACAAATAGTAACTCAATTAATCTTTGCTGAATGAATGTGTGCACATATGTGTGTTTGTGTTTAGAAACAGATGATGGGTGTGTGGAGATGCACAAATACTATCTATGATACAACAGCACTTGGTTTATGATTTCACTCTTCTTTTTTTTTCTTTTTTTTATTTCAATAGCTTTTGGGGTACAAGTGTTTTATGGTTACAAGGATGAATTGTGTAACAGCAAAGTCTGAGATTTTGGTGCACCTATCACCCAGGTTATAATTTTATTCTTTTTCAAGCATGCATTTTGGTACGCCACACAAACCGCCTCATTGTATGAAGGGACATTAATAATAGACAAGCATTATGAATCCTCTCTTCAAGGAGAACTGTCCAAATCAGAAATGAGGGAGATTAGGGGAGCAGCTAGTAACACAAGGTACTGAACCTTGTCCATCTTTGGGCCTACTCTAAGGGTCAGAGGGAAAGCAGGAAGCCATCAGAGGTGGGAAGGCTCACAGTGTCCACTCTGTTCTCACGTTGGACAAATGGCTTTGCATGCATTGCAGCTGGGGCTGACTGCATAAGTAACAGCACTTGCTTATCAGACAACAGTACTTATCTATTAACCTGCCACAGAATCAACTCAGGAATAAGTTATCGAATTACAGCATTGAGGCAAATATATGTGTTTATTTTTTATTTATGTGTATGTATATATGATTAAAATGGCAGCCATAAAGCTATGTGTACAAAAGATTATAAGTCACCACTCTGTCAGCAACTGTCATTTTAAATGTCTAGCATTATCCCTCAAGTACTTTGACAGACTGGAGGAGGAAGCACATCCCATAAACAATATCCTGCTTGGGTTCTATCAACAGGTTCTAGTTTTGTATTAAAACTATTACATCAATGAAAAAGAAAAGATATCTAAAGTAAGAGGCTGTAAATTTTGTTCCTGTCTATTATATAATGATCCAAAAGGAAGTGAGGAATTAGCTCCTTAGTTCTAATTTTTCTTTCTAATGCTACTTCTTTATATAATTTAAGACTGGCTACAATGATTTATATTTTACTATATATTCCAAAGGTACCAGCATCACAGGACCTTGTGCATGTACAACATTCTTATTACAGATGGGTCAACATGTATCCAAAATGCAATGTCTTCTAAGACTGAATCTCAAATGCACAAAAAAGGGATATGAAACTGGGAAGCAATCCAAGAGTACTGTAAGACAGTGCCATTGTATTGACTTTCAAGCTATCAATAGATCTTGAGACTTGTGAAAATAAGCCAAGGAATGCAACATTCATATCTTAACTGTATGTTTTCCTGTCCTCTCACTTATTTTTCCTGGTGTAAACAGAGCTACCCATCTGTGCATAGAAAAGCAAACCTGGAGAGCAGAGGCATATTAAAAACCACAGTGCCAGGGCAGGCAGCCCTGGAGTGGCAGTCAAGAACACTGTCTTCTCATTCCAACCTTGCCCTAGAAGCTATGTAACCTTGAAGAAGTTTCTCTCAACCATTAAAATAACAAATAACATTAAAATAACAACAGGTCAAATAATATACAGGATACTGTTGGTAATAATAATGGAAAGTTTGTCAAAAAATTAACAGAACTTAAAAGATTTTTAACACTAATGTAAATATTTCCTGAAAAGTACAATTCAGTCACTATAGACCAGCTATATATTAAATTAAGAAATTAGTACATATCCATCTCTGCCTTCAACTTATCTATATATAAACAAAAATGATCAATTTTACCAAACAAATTGGTAAAATTGGTAAAAGTTACCAAATTTTAACTGAAATGACTGAGTAGAAGTAATCACATCACCTATGCTCATTACAATGAACTGCAGTCAGTGGCAGATATCTTTGATATCTAGCTCAAAGATGAAAATTCACATCAATGTAAAGTAAATCTCTCACTTTAAAATCAGCACTGAGAGGATGATACGTGAACATTTTTTAAGTCTCTCAGGGGATCTGTCTCATTGGTGGTAAACACTCAAAAAAGAACAACAAAATGCTAAGATTTTATGGCCAATACAATTCTGCATACAATAATTTTGTCTACATTTCACAATCAGGTACTACTCATACAGAATATGGGGAAAGCTCTCCTGAGGATCGAAAGAATGGGACTTAGGTCCCATTATTATTTTTGTATGTAGTTTCAAATTTTCTTGATAAAACTGTTTAGTCAATTAAAAAATTATTCTCTTGAGGAACCTTTGAAGGGATATTAACTCATGTTGAAAAAAGGACTTGTTGATTAAATCCAAGAGAATTACATCAATTCAATTGCTTCTTATTAGATGATTACTAGCTGTTACTTTACAAATATCACTGAGAGGATTAAAAAGATTTGTCATAGAATCAGAAGGCCAAAAATCAGCTCAGAGAAGGCTAAAAATATTCCTTAAATTTAATTTTTAAATGCAGCTTTCCAAAAATCAGACACATGTTTTAGAGCAATCTTGACATATCCAGAAGTGCATAAATAAATTTAAACCTGTCAATGACCTACTTTAATGAAAGAAATTACAACCATCTTAAATACCTGTAATTTATCTTTATGATGATGCTGAGTTGCTAATTTTATTATTCAAAAAATTATAAATGATGACAAATTGAGCAAAATCAACCATCTAGAGGAAGACATTAAAATAAAGACTTTAGCTAAATAGAAAACTGGCCTATTCCTGAATGTCTTATCATTGCTAGACATTCATAAATCTTCTCACAGAGGAGAGAGGAATCATAAGAAAATACAAGCCAAATCACTAGAGTCAGTTCTATACACACCAACAATACATACATATATTTAAAGAAAGCAGATTGACAATATAGAGGTAACCACCATGGCAGGTACATTACACTGTTTTCCTCAACCTCCACTCTCCCCTTCCTCCTTAGTAAACGGAACAGTAATTTGTCCCAATGAGTGTATCGCTTCTTGGAGTAAAAGACTACATGCTAGGAATGAATACTGTCCAGATTCAAAGATAATGTGGGATTCTGCTTAAAGAAAACTGACTCATGCCTGGGAGCCCACTTTTTTCATGTTTTGCCTTTCCTACTTCTCCTGACCTGTACCCATATTTATGATGGCTAGAGCTCCAGGAACCATCCTGTACCCTGAGGTCATCTTAGTATGAAAGCCATGCACTAGGAAAGAACAGAAAAGTAAGAGCTGAGTCTCTGATGACACCACGGAATCACCATACAACCATTCCAGCCTGTATCTAGACTACCTTTACATGAGACAGAAATACATTTCTATCTCTTTTAAACTACTGTTACTTTGGACTTTAATGTTTTTTACTTTTTCTGTTATAGTGGCTAAAGTGATTTTAACTAATATAGTCAAGTAAATTTTTTGAAATATTCAAAAGCAATAACTGAATCATCTACCTAATTTGTTGTTTTAACTTGATGAATGTGTTTACACAGACTCAATTTTAACTTTCCTCTATGGTAGTAACAGTATTCGTGAGGTTTCTTAAAATACTAATAGATCTTGTAAGGAAATCAGCACTATGGACAATTTATCTTAATAATGTTTTCTTCACCTATTATAAGAGACAGAAAGAAAAAATTACTGGGAATTCAACTCCTAAGGAAAAATTTCCCTTCTAATTCCCCCCAAATACAATAACGAGTGCATATTTTCTAAAATAACTTAGGAAAGAAGAAAAGAAATAGACATTTATGAATTCTGCACTATTCCATGACTTAGTTACTTAGCAGATATTTTTGTTTAATTCTCACAATAAACTAGATAGTTAATACTGTCCTCACACTTTAAAGATGAGGTAACTGAGGCTTGGAGATATTTACTAACGCTTTCATGGTCTCCACACAGTAAGTCCAATTTCAAATCCCATACTCTTTTCGTGATACTCTGGCATAGAACATGCATTGACATGTGATAATATGAAGAGCATTTTCTAGTTCAAACACTTTTCTATTTTTCTTATGTCCAAGATTCTGTTGGACATATTCTTTTATTAAGAAACAATTATTCTTACAGAGAAGCAACGGTTAAATGTTTAATTTCCAAATAAAAATTACAATGAAACTTCCTGATGAAAGCCTAAGGCTCTGCACAATCCTATCTATTTCAACTGTGTGTAAGAAAAAAGAAAGAGCAAGAGAGGAAGGGAGAAAGAGAGTGACAGGGAAAGAGAAAACAAACCTAGTTATGTCCATCTGGGCCTTATATGAAAAGGAGTCTGTTCTAATTGTATACTTTTTTCTCTCCTACTATATTATATATACTGGGACTATGAAAGCTTTCATCTTCCTAACCTAGAAATAAAAATACAAATAGTTACAAGATTTTAGTATCAAAAAAATTCCCAGTACAGGAATCTCTGTCTCCCTCAGCTCACTTTGATCTCCTTCTCTTTATCCTCTAACTGAGCAGAAAGAAAAAGCAGAGTGTCAACAGTAATTTCTTTTTTATTTTTCAAAGTAAGTGGCTGATATATTAAGCTCTCAGGCTACAAAGTCATGAAAAGCAAAAGAAAGTCATTATAGTGGAAAAAGAAACCACAGTCTCCAAATGTACTGTTGTTTAGAATTCATATTAAAAATAACTCTGTAATATGTAATACTCTGTAACTATGTGCACACATGTCATACATGTGTGTTCATATAGCTTATAGCTGTTAAACCTCATACCAAAAGTAGAAATGCAAAGTTTGACAAGAAGAAAAGAGTACTGTGTATATCTTGAAGTCAATTAAAATAACATTTAACCAAACCAAGGTATTCATATTATAAATTATTTTTGGAAGATTAACATTTTTGTCATTGATGACTATAGCAAAATTTTCTTTGAAGTGTCACAGAAGTTACTAAACATCTTGTAGTTGGTATAGCAATAAAAATGTATTGTAAGTTAAGTGATGTTCAGGACTTACCACCTCCTCCTCCAAGAAGACTGGCATTTGCTGTTTAAAACAAAACACAACAAAAGACATTAAATAACATGTATAAGAAATATAGTATATCAGAGTAATTCAAGATAAATCTGATAGTGATCATATGTCTCATATACATACAGAAACATAAAATATTTACTTTCATTTAAAGACAGCTTATAATACTATTTTATGAGTTTGAAAATTAAAATATTTCACTATTTTTATCTTTTTCTCTTCAAATGGCTATTTTTATAATATATTTCCTTCTAATGAAATTAAACACATATTGAGACTGTTTTATTCTCAGTTCTGTATCTAAATTAATCTTCTGAGCTCTCCATTTTATCAAGTAGAATAGAACAATATTATTTAGCCAATTTTAATGATTTCAAAGGACAATGTAACACAAAAGTATTATGGTAATTAAGTTAAACATAATGAAACAAAGCTATCACAAAACATTTTGCAGTAAGAAATAACTGTTAAATAGTAACAATTTATTACTTTTTTGATTAACTTTTTTATTTTGAGGAAAGAAATAAACATTAAACAGTGCTGTGGTATTTCTTACCTATTTATTTATTAGCCCAGCACACACATTTATAGGCACTAAATAAGTATAAAATAATTCCATTTGGATTTCTTTCACAAGGTCAAATTTTTAGGAAGTTCCATTGCAGGTTTCTGCTGAAGTATTAAACAACCTTATGCCTAAATTTATCCAAATATAATAACCAGAAAACATAATGCAATATACACTACACTGAGCTTTATTCCATAGAGTTCTTAAGTATCACAGGAATTATTTCTTGCCACTAAAAAACAGCCCAGCAGTAATACAAGGAAAATAGGCAGCAAGCAAACTCCCCTTCTTTGTGAAAACTGAGTTACCAAAAGACTTTAAAAAAAAAATTAGGAAAAAGGAGTAGAAAGTCTTGTACTTGAATTTTAGCATGCTGCCCACAGACCACCCATTTCATAATTCAAGAGATGCAAATATCATTGTTAATGATTCAATCAATAAATAATGGATCATTTGAAGAACAAATGCCCATATTCACAGTTCTATGAGGTTAGATATGTGATAGCTTACTGATTATTGTTACACTAAAGAGAATATCATGAAAATGCATGGAGACCAAATGCTATTTTCAATATGTCAATATTAAGAGTGTCAAATTTAGTCTCATGTAATCTTCCAAGTATAGGACTGTCTAATTGTTGCTCTTGCTAATTGCCCTCAGTACTTTTGTCACAAATATGTCCCAAGTGGCAGTGTCATTAATCAACCATAAACAAAACTCACTTCTGATGTCATAAAGTCATCTGCCACTGCAGACTCAGGTGTGCAAGTCCCTCTGACTTTACCACATGTAAGTGTGTGATATTTACACAGGCAGTAGCCAGAATTTAAGGTCCTGCCCTGAATCCAGCTTTGTAGCTTTTGAAGTGGTAACTTATTGAAGAGGCATCAGGATAGACATCAAGAATTCTACTTGGTCTCATATCCATTAGTGGAAAAGAGAAATTTCATGATCAACCAAACATTTTCTAAAATCTTAGCTACATGCATTTATAAAACCACATGAAATTTCACACTCCTGCTGATTTTTTATTTTCATATTTGACTGAGAATTACCTCCCTATCTATAGGTTTTCCAGTTCCCTGGGACTCCATCTGTTGTCCTCTAATTTTCACATATTCATTCATAAGGAAAAAGGTATTTTTAACAAACAACAACAATAATAAATAGGAGCTCTTCACTTAAATTACCATGCTCAGTAGCACAGTAAGACAATATAGTCTATTTTCATCCAATGTTTTGCTCAATAAAGGTGGAGGTTGCCTGTTTTGAGAGCACAGCCCAAGGCCCATCTGTTTAACCAGGCACTTGTCCAATAAATGTGGATGGATGGGTAGGTGTAGGAATTGGAATTCCAGTTCTGGCCAATCATCAAGTTAGTTTATGTCGAATGTGTGTTCATGTATTTTACATAAGCATATCCAGTAACATTTTAACTTCACTGTAGAACTATTTTACAAAATTTTGACACTCTATATAGCACACAATCATTTTTAAGGTAATTCCATGTGTATTACTATCCATGTAATAGAATCTTAATTTAGGCTGCATAATCATATTCAAAAAAGTTCTGATAACTATAAATCCAATAAGGATTTTTCCAATGAATCCATCAAATTTTTCTATTTTATCTATTTCTATTCTCTAAAAAATAACAAAAAAGTTAACTTTATTAGCAAAAATGTCAAGGCACTTTTCTTCAGCAAAAGTCACATAAAAATATGCAAGTAAAGGTGAAACTTTATTGTTATTTGTAGTATTACTTTGTCTCCACAAAGCACTCCAATAACTGGTTATCCAACATTCATTGGTCAGGTAGATTCATGTTACTTCTTCCATTTTACAGAAGTGAAATGACTTTTGTGTGTCTAAAATTAATAATAATTTAGTTTCTACTTCATTATCTCCAATAAATTGAGATATATCCCAATTAGATGGAAGCTTCTCCAAGGCAAGGTCTGAGTTTAATGGTTTGGCCTGCATCTAATAAATTTTCAAGACATGTTTTATAATGGTGAGATAATTGGTAGGTTTAGTCAATTTCTTCATCAATACAAGAGGAATTTGTTTACTGAAGTGTGTGAAGAAAGCAAACTTTGACCCTTTTTCTTCCTATAAAATCAAAGATTACTTAAGAAACTCTAAAAGCTTATTTGGAAATGCTTAGTAAGAATGCATAAAATATATTTATGTCCCTATCTAAATTTATTCTGAGAGGGAATTTTGGACATGCTTCCTATTAATCCTACTGTTTCACAGAGAAAGGAAAGGAAGAAAAGGAACAAAGAAAACTTGAAGTTCCTGAACATGATGCCACTATTTTTAAAACAAGATTTAAAAATCTCTTCTCTGAGCATGCTTATGAAGCAAGACTATTTTAATTCATATTTCCCTGAAATAAAATGTCTCTTTTATTACCAGTGGAGGGAAGGAAAAAAATCAAGTTACAGTAATTGTCTCAAAGATTGATTCAATGCAAAACTAAAATGAGCCATTACAAGATAATGAATCTGTGTATTGCACTTTTTCTTCCCCCTAAAATAACTTCACGCAAGGAGATGGAGTTTTACTGTTTATAAAGTGAAAACAACATGAGCACAAAATGGAGAAAAGGGTTATCTGAAGCTAATTTCGCAGTGTCAAATATGGAGAATTGATTTCCAATACCCTAAACAAATGGTTCCATTTTTAAAGTTTATGAGAATTTTTTCTTTCATTTGAACGTAGTTTTAAATTTTTTAATTAAAAGTATCAAATTCCTATAGCTATAAATATTCACTATTAAAGTATTAAAGCAAAAAAATGAATACAATATAGGAATCCCTTTCCTGGAACAATTAGCCTAAATGAAAAATGATCACAGCAGTTGTCAATAACACATTAATTTATGTTTTTCTCAAAATACAAATGAAAAATGCTGGAAGAGGTAACTCATGTCAACCATGAGCCAGGAGGCTGAGGCAGGAGAATCGCTTGAACCTGGGAGGCAGAGGTGGCAGTGAGCCGAGATCATGCCACTGCACTCCAGCCTGGGCAACAGAAAAATCCTCACTCTCAAAAAAAAAAAAAAAAAAAAAAAAAAAAAGGATTTCAAATACCGTTTTTTCTTTTTGCCCAGTAATTTTTATTATCTCCACAGCAATTGTTTGTTTTTCCACTCCATTTCCACCCCACCCAAGACTATCTGCCAAACACACAAGAGTCTGGGAAACGAGTCTTTAAACATTGATTAAAACTATTTGTGCAGGGTTTTGTTTGCTTTTCATCATTATAAAGGAAATTATACTTGTTTTCATCCTAACAGAATCCTGACCACCTAGTTTAGTTTATTTATTCTGCTTTCTTATTACAATAGAGCACATGGGATATCAAAAGGACTGTTGGCAAAAACTTCCCCAGGAGCTCTATTTAAAATACCAATTTCATTCACAACATGTTATCCCCAAAGATACAAAAGCTGAAATACCACCTTTCAGAATGGCATACGTTATATTCCCTAGAGTTTGAAGCTCTTTAAGTAGGAAGTGCTAAAAAATCTGATCAATTAAAATCCCAAGCACATGTATGATTCTAGAACCACTTTATATAGGAAGCAACCATCTCACCTGACAGCTGTGAAAATACAATCTATGCAGACAAATAGAGCTATCAATTTGGCAACAGGCCTCTGTCTATGCTTTACTAGATTTATACCTCCCAAATAAAATCAACAGAACGCTGGAGATTTTGGGCAATGGTGTAATTTCCTGCTTTGAAGCTGATGAAGCAAGAAAATTAAGAATAGGCTTAACTGATTCACATGTAGAAACCAGGCATAAATACATGATTAATACTTTACAGTTCATGCTACTATAGAATTTGAAGAAGACTGATTATTCCAGTATCTGTGTTGTTTGTACAAGCTGTCACTCACTATGAAGCCAAAAATAGAATACAATGACCCCTACTACTAATAAATAGGTGAAAAGGCATCAGAAATTGGAAGTCTTACTTGGGATGATTCACATATAAAACAAAACAGAATTACTGTTGTTAAAGTACAAGGGAGGAGCTACAGCTGGTCCTGGTTTGCCTTACTAGGTACTCAATGACTTCTATGAATATCGTAGCATGGGCAGGGGGAAACAAAAAAAAAAAAAAAAAAAACCTGCCAAAAGCTAAACAAATAAACAAACAAACAAAAACCCCACTTATTTGGTCCAACCCCTTTATTTTACAAAAGTAGAAAGCTAAAGAGGATCAAAGATGTTGTTAACTTACTTGTCTAGGATCAGACCCAGAAGAACCAACCATAAAATAGTGTCAACTTAGATGTTTAATAATAACTCCCTCTTAACAAATTATAAATATGTGTATGTGTCTCTGTGTGTGTATTGCAGCCCTCCTGCTCCCCAAAATTACATCCAAAGATGGTGATAGAAAACAACATGCGGGGCCGGGCGC